TAAATGTGAGGGTGAGGGTTTCATCTAAATGTGAGGGTGAGGGTTTCACCTAAATGTGAGGGTTTCACCTAAATGTGAGGGTTTCATCTAAATGTGAGGGTGAGGGTTTCACCTAAATGTGAGGGTTTCACCTAAATGTGAGGGTTTCACCTAAATGTGAGGGTTTCATCTAAATGTGAGGGTTTCATCGAATTGTCTAAATGTAAGGGTTTCACCTAAATGTCCATGAACTTGGTTGTGTGTGTGTGTGGCTCTTCCATATTTATGTTTAATTATGTGTAGGTGTATGTTTGTATGTGTGTTTGTGTGATGTCTCTGCGTCTACGACATCTAACGTGATTATGTTTGTTGGTGGGTATGGGTGATTGTAAGGTGTGAGTGTGTATATGTTGGAGGGTATATGTTTGTATCCAACGCATAACATCCAACACACACATCCCTTACACATAAAATTGTATGTGTGAGTGTACGAGTGCTGGTGGGTAGGGGTGAAAGTAAAAAGGAAAATGTGCTAGTGTGTCTGTGTGTGTGTGAGATAGAGAGTGAGAGATTGCTGTGGGATTACATACTCTTGGTGAGTAGGTGTGTGTATGTGTGTATGTGTGAGTGGGTGTGTGTGGGTGCAGTGGAGCTGCCTCCACTCCATCACGTGACATATGTCGTTAGGTGTGTGTGTGTGTATTGTCTGATCACGTGACATGATCGTCCCCAGGCCAGTTGACTCCCCACAAACGACCTACATCTGCATTGCAAATTTCAAGAAACATTGTTTCGTTTCCTCAGTTAGCTAGCGGACGATCCGAGTTTTTACACGCAAATCTGTTTATTTGATACAATTTCTTGTTTCCATACAATCTTGGCGGTGTAGAAGGTAGAAATCATGTTGTACACAGACGATACGTCAGGGCTTAACCTGACAGAAATGCGACTGGGTTTCCCTGCTTCAAACAGGAAAATTTACAAGAATTCCGGGCAATAAAAATTTGATGGCTCGCCTCAGTATCTGTGCCAGCAGAAAGTCAATACTTAGAGGATAGATGAAATGACTCAAAGTTACGATTGCCAAGGACAAGGCTTGTGGATGGTCAAACCTCCAATATATCAGACTATGCCTTTTATGCCCTAGATCTAGACCAGACCCTGCCTTTTATGCCCTAGATCTAGACCAGACCCTGCCTTTTATGCCCTAGATCTAGAGCAGATCTAATCCGATACCCCACTGCAGACTTGACCCCTAGAAATTTAAATAAAGAGCATCAAGACGCAAATGGAAATAGAACAAAAAAACTGTCATGAGGAATATTTTAATCTAGCCAAAAAATTGAGGATTGAATTACGAGAACATCTGTTTGCTCAATAACGTGAGATGTCTCGGCATAAGGAGGGGTCATCTTTACCACTTTATATAGGCTTATAGAGGGGTCATCTACCATTTTATATAGGCTTACAGAGGGGTCATCTATACCACTTTATTTAGGCTTACAGAGGGGCCATATAAACCACATTATAAAGGCTTACAGAGGGGTCATGTAAACCACTTTTTAAAGTCTTGCCGCGGGGTCCTCTCTACTATATTATAAATAAAGGCTTACAGAAGGCTCGTGTATACCACAGCATGTAGACTTACAAAGGGGTCTTTAGACGTAGACAGAAAAGATCGTAGTTTACACGCAAAGAACGTTCGCATTTCAACACACCTTTCATGACTTAAAATGATGTTAAAAGTCCTGATGTTGGTAACTAATGTAACAATTTTTAGGCGTAGCTTTGATAATTCTAGCACAGGTTAATTTAAGTTGTAAACCTGAATGCCACATGTTAAACCTGAATATCCCACATGTTAAACCTGAATGTCCCAAGGTTAAACCTGAATATCCCACATGTTAAACCTGTATGTCCTACATGTTAAACCTGAAAGTCCTACATGTTAAACCTGAATGTCCCACATGTTAAACCTGAATGCCACACATGTTAAACCTGAATGCCACACATGTTAAACCTGAATGCCACATGTTAAACCTGAATGTCCCACATGTTAAACCTGTATGCCCCACATGTTAAACCTGTATGTCCCACATGTTAAACCTGAATGTCCCACATGTTAAATGTGTATGTCCCACATGTTAAACCTGAATGTCCACATGTTAAACCTGAATGTCCCCCACATGTTAAACCTGAATGTCCCACATGTTAAACCTGAATGTCCCACATGTTAAACCTGTATGTCCCACATGTTAAACCTGTATGTCCCACATGTTAAACCTGAATGTCCCACATGTTAAACCTGTATGTCCCACATGTTAAACCTGTATGTCCCACATGTTAAACCTGTATGTCCCACATGTTAAACGTGTATATCCCAGTGTTAAACCTGAATGTTTAACCCTCTAACCTTGACCCCACAGGTGCCAGTACACGGCTGACCAGTTCACCAACGTGACGGAGACTATAGAGAGTCTGCTCAAGGGATATGATATCCGTCTGCGGCCCAGCTTTGGGGGTGAGTACTGTCCTGTGGGGTGGGGTGGGGGTGGGGAGGGGGTGGGGATGTACAACAGTCATAGGTGAGTACTGTCCTGTGTGTTGGGGGTGGGGAGGGGAGGGAGATAGAGAGGGGATGTACATGGGTGAGTGTGCTACAGTCATGACATCTATTTCAACATTCCTGTGTGGTGGTAAAATCCTGTCTCTGGGGGTGGGTACAGCCCTGTCTGGGGGCGGGTACAGTCCTCTATGGGGTGGGTACAGTCCTGTCTCTGGGGGTGGGTACAGCCCTGTCTGGGGGCGGGTACAGTCCTCTATGGGGTGGATACAGCCCTGTCTCTGGGGGTGGGTACAGCCCTGTCTGGGGGTGGGTACAGCCCTGTGTGGGGGTGGGTAAAGCCCTGTGTGGAGGTGGGTACAGCCCTGTGTGGGGGTGGGTAAAGCCCTGTGTGGGGGGTGGGTACAGTCCTGTCTCTGGGGGTGGGTACAGCCCTGTCTCTGGGGGTGGGTACAGCCCTGTCTCTGGGGGTGGGTACAGCCCTGTCTCTGGGGGTGGGTACAGCCCTGTCTCCGGGGGTGGGTACAGCCCTGTGTGGAGGTGGGTACAGCCCTGTGTGGGGGTGGGTAAAGCCCTGTGTGGGGGGTGGGTACAGTCCTGTCTCTGGGGGTGGGTACAGCCCTGTCTCTGGGGGTGGGTACAGCCCTGTCTCTGGGGGTGGGTACAGCCCTGTCTCTGGGGTGGGTACAGCCCTGTCTGGGGTGGGTACAGCCCTGTGTGGGGGTGGGTACAGTCTTGTCTGGGGGTGGGTACAGCCCTGTCTCTGGGGTCGGGTACAGCCCTGTCTCTGGGGGTGGGTACAGTCCTGTCTGGGGGTGGGTACAGTCCTGTCTGGGGGTGGGTACAGTCCTGTCTGGGGTGGGTACAGTCCTCTATGGGGTGGGTACAGTCCTGTCTGGGGGCGGGTACAGTCCTCTATGGGGTGGGTACAGTCGTCTGAGTTTAGCCCCATCCGGCACGTGCATATCAAAAGGTAGCCCGGAACTGTTTGACGTGGCTACGACCTCCGGACGGATATATTGTCCGATTCTATCGGGCACTGTCGAGGTTTGATTTCTTTTCTTTCGAATCAGCTTGTCTCTCATGTTGACATTGTGTGCGGGCTGTTTGCATGGGGGGGGGGGGGCTGTTGTTTGAGGCGTAGGAAAATACTGAATGAATGACGGTGGTACATAGACTGTGGCGTAACCGGTGGACCGCTGGGGTGGGGTGGGGAGAGGAGGTGGAGGGGTTGTCGAGTCTACCAGTGCCGTTTTTTTCTTTAAAAATGAACTAGATTCTGGACCCGTTGTTACTGTTAGTGGGGTTAGAGTTCATCTTGGTGGGGTTAGAGTTCATATAAGTGGGGTTAGAGTTCACGAGAGCATGTAGTCTAGTCACGTGGTCTTTAATTGTCACCAGGTTGAATAGAAAAACAATAATTAAATTTGAGGCATTACTCTAAATACTGTCAACACAAAGTAGAGTGACAAAGTAGAAAAACAAAGTAGAGCCACAAGTAGGACCATGAGCAGAGTCACAAAGTAAAGTGATTATGTCTGTGACGTTTCATAAATTAAAAAAGTAAATGGCTAATAACAAAAGTCAGAAACTCATTCAGTTGTTCAAGTATATAAAGTGATAGATTAAACCATTTTACTTTCTCGTATATACGTAGTATAGAGAAAGTATTGTAATCGTGCAAAAAAAAAAATCGAGATTTTTACAAATCTCGACGTTTTACACCTCACTGATACGGAAAAACATAATTTTGCAATCTTGTCCGTATGTCTGTGTGTCTGTCTGTGTGTCTGTCTGTCTGTCTGTCCGTGTGTAAACACGATAACTTGAGTACCGTTACAGCTAGGTTGATGAAATTTCATATAAAAGTATTTTATCAAAATCGTAGATCCGTATCAACTTTTGAGCGATTTCCGATAACCGGAAGTGGTACTTTTCCTACTTTGAATTTTTCAAAAGCCTATAACTTGAGTACTATTTCAGATAGATAAATGAAATTTCACATGTAAGTAAAAGATCTAATTCTCTACCTTCTGTTAAATTTTGAGTAATTTCCGTTGACTCGAAGTAGTACTTTACGCTACTTCCGATTTCTAAAAAAACTAATGTAAATTTTAAAAGTACTAATAATATTGCGCACTATTATGCGCTTTTTTATTTGGCGTTCACTTGGTGTGCAATTAATTTGTCTACGAGATTTTAGTCTATTTTTAAAAATTTAAGTATTTAAAATGGATTAAAAATCATGTCTATAGCCCGAGTTCCCATCCCATGTTATTTTATATAAGAATATTCAAGAAAGTTTAGGGGAGATTACTCCCGGTTTATTTTTTGCTGTTTCTTTAATCTTAAAAACATGAAACTTCGTGTCTTAAAAGTAATGACGCCAAGTGCCGGTCATTTGTTTTTCATAATTTCATTGATTTCGATTTGCTGATGTTAAATAACGGCCCGACAACCCCTACAACCCTTATGCCCTACAACCCTTATGCCCTAAAACCCTTCTATCCCACACCGCTGCAACCCTTATGCCCTACAACCCTTATGCCCTACAACCCTTACGCCCCACACCGCTACAACCCTTAACCTCCATCGTTGCTGATTGGTGCACAGACATGCCGACGAAACTAGCCTGTATTAATTTAAAGCATAATTAGCCATTAAATCAGATACTATTATAACTACTAACCAACGAGATAGTGACCTCAAATATGACCTCTGACCCCTCAGATAATTTCAGTTGACATAAATTTATGACCAACAAGATCATGACTTCAGATTTTAAAAATGACCCCTGACCCCTGACCACATGACAACTGACCAATGAGATTATGACCTCATAAGACTTCGATACTATTGATTTAAAGGACAAAAAAAAATAAACCATTTATAATTTCTACTTGAGCAAATAATTTTTTACAAGTCGAGACAATATTTCTTCAGGAGCAGCTTTATAATCTCCCCTGGACGTCAGCACCTCCCTCTCCCCGGACATTTCCATTGTTTTAATGTATCCACCACATTCCCGGGCACACACCAGTCTTATCACTGACCCCAGATCGCCGTACGGCAATTTGACGTCACTTAAACTAACCGGTGCGGTTCTGTGTTCTAGTGGCGGCGCGTGCCAGTCAGCTAATCACTGGCATGTCTGCTGGTAACTCAGTTCTCTCCCTTCCTGCTTCCCTCCCTTTCAACCACAGCTATTACAGCGTCTCTATTGAATTATAAGCGTTATCAATTGGATTACTGCCCCTGGTTATGCATGAATTACTGCCCCTGTTGTTTCAACAGCCCCATAATATCGCCCGGCCATAATCAGATTTATTTTAAAACCCATACAGGCCGGGTCACCATCCTACCACTGCCTGTGTCACCATCCTACCCCTGCCTGTGTCACCATCCTACCCCTGCCTGTGTCACCATCCTACCCCTGCCTGTGTCACCATCCTACCCCTGCCTGTGTCACCATCCTACCCCTGCCTGTGTCACCATCCTACCCCTGCCTGTGTCACCATCCTACCCCTGCCCTGGTCACCATCCTACCCCTGCCTGTGTCACCATCCTACCCCTGCCCAGGTCACCATCCTACCCCTGCACAGGTCACCATCCCACCCCTACCCGCGTCACTATCCTACCCCTGCCCAGGTCACCATCCTACCCCTGCCTGTGTCACCATCCTACCCCTGCCCAGGTCACCATCCTACCCCTGCCCAGGTCACCATCCCACCCCTACCCGCGTCACTATCCTACCCCTGCCCAGGTCACCATCCTACCCCTGCCTGTGTCACCATCCTACCCCTGCCTGTGTCACCATCCTACCCCTGCCTGTGTCACCATCCTACCCCTGCCTGTGTCACCATCCTACCCCTGCCTGTGTCACCATCCTACCCCTGCCTGTGTCACCATCCTACCCCTGCCCTGGTCACCATCCTACCCCTGCCTGTGTCACCATCCTACCCCTGCCCAGGTCACCATCCTACCCCTGCCCAGGTCACCATCCCACCCCTACCCGCGTCACTATCCTACCCCTGCCCAGGTCACCATCCTACCCCTGCCTGTGTCACCATCCTACCCCTGCCCAGGTCACCATCCTACCCCTGCCCAGGTCACCATCCCACCCCTACCCGCGTCACTATCCTACCCCTGCCCAGGTCACCATCCTACCCCTGCCTGTGTCACCATCCTACCCCTGCCCAGGTCACCATCCTACCCCTGCCTGTGTCACCATCCTACCCCTGCCCAGGTCACCATCCCACCCCTGCCTGTGTCACCATCCTACCCCTGCCTGTGTCACCATCCCACCCCTGCCTGTGTCACCATCCTACCCCTGCCTGTGTCACCATCCCACCCCTGCCTGTGTCACCATCCCACCCCTGCCTGTGTCACCATCCTACCCCTGCCTGTGTCACCATCCCACCCCTGCCTGTGTCACCATCCCACCCCTGCCTGTGTCACCATCCTACCCCTGCCTGTGTCACCATCCCACCCCTGCCTGTGTCACCATCCTACCCCTGCCTGTGTCACCATCCCACCCCTGCCTGTGTCACCATCCCACCCCTGCCTGTGTCACCATCCTACCCCTGTCTGTGTCACCATCCCACCCCTGCCTGTGTCACCATCCCACCCCTGCCTGTGTCACCATCCCACCCCTGCCTGTGTCACCATCCTACCCCTGCCCAGGTCACCATCCCACCCCTGCCCAGGTCACCATCCCACCCCTGCCCAGGTCACCATCCCCCCCTGCCCGGGTCACCATCCAGCCCGGGTCACCATCCCACCCCTGCCCAGGTCACCAGTAATTACTACACAGATTACATCATATGTGGCGCCCAACACAAATTTAATATTCCCTTCCTACAAATAACTCAGTTTTCGGGAGCGAAGTGTTTGAAATCAATTAAAATCATGCAAATTGGAAGAGATAATTGATTAATTTAATTGGTTCTGCTTTATTT